GCAAAATACTGTGGGCTGTAGTTAGCAGAACTGATTTGCTTTCTATAGTAACAAAACTAGATGTGACTAACTTCAATGCTAAGAACAGCAGAGCTTAGCTGTATGGCTCATATTTATGTTAATTTTGGTGCATTAAAAGTTTTTTCATTGTTTTTGTTGTTTCAGACCACTGAAAATCACAAACACTTTAAGTAGGTGTCCTGAAAAATTGTGCCATATGTGGCCAAAAAGCTTCTTATGATAACATTCATTCGGGATCTGACACTTGAAAGATTTCATAAATGTGAAGCATTTGGTTTAAACAAACACACAATCACATACCAAGCTGTCTTTGGTAAGAAGAGACAAGGTCGCTCCAAAGGGTTCCTGTCTCCAGTAGGGTTTACCATTAGAGAATGAAGGCAAATTGCCAGTGCCTGTGTACATGAATTTTCTTTGTCCTCTTTTGTTTTGGTTGTGGGGCCTATCCTAGCGATTTTACAAGATGCCCGCTGTGTTCCTGAGAAAATAAAAAGTGCTAAGCATGCTTGCCTTCAGCTCGTCCTCACCCGTGGGAGATACCTGCAGTGATTAATTGCTAGACTCCTAACTGCTATTCTCTCCACTCCTTAGGTAGTTTGGTGTTAATCACAACAAAGTTATTCTTTCAAGTGAAAATGCTGGCAGGTCCCTTCAGGTTTTATTGGGCCCTAGAGATTCTTGGCCTAATCTGAATCTGAAGGTTAACTTCCAAAATGTAATTCAATTTATCTGATTTTTTTTTAAGTCGCTGATACTGCCAAAAATATAAGTAACCTTTTTACGATCTTTTTAGGCAGTTTCAGTGGTTTGATAGAATATTTGGTGCAGTAATCTTTGTATTCTCTTAAACTGGAAGGCCTCTCATGGAGCTACACAAAATTTTAGAGCTAGAAGGGGTCTCCCACCTCATCTAATACAAACCTGTCATTTTATCAGGTAGAAAATTTTCACGGTATGATATTTTTTCAAAATATATCACTTTTTTTTGGATAAAATAAGATAAGCATATGGTTCAAATGTCAAAAAGCATGAAACTTGAGCAGTGGAAAGTAAGTATTTCCCAGTTACCCAGTTAGCATTCCTGGAGAGAAGCACTTTTCCAGAGATATTTTATGTGTGCTATGACATCCTTTCAGCAAGAGCTCCAGACCTAACAGGGCCAGAGAGGTCACAAATGAATCACAATTTGATAATTATCATAAAGTAGTAGTGGGTCTTCTAATTCCATTATCTATTGGCTCGGCTCAGACTCTTACTATCTTGGACAAGTTAATGAATCTTTCTTCCTCGTTTTCCCCATTCATGTGGTAGCACTAATGATCCCCAGCAGGCAAGATTGTCAGGATTGAGGTAATGTACCAAAGTTTCAGGCAAACCCCTTGATTCTGACCGTGGGAAAGATACAATCTTTTTTTTTCCTGTTTTCATTTCAAATGCAGAAGACAAAGTCTTACCAAGGTAGGAATGAAGGTATCTATAGACTCTATATGGTAAGAAAGTATGTGTCATGATGTCTGTTTTCACAACTCTAACACTTACTTTCCCAGTCGTGATGAAGTTGACTGGCCTCTTCCTTCCTCATTGCATTAGTGGGTATCTTTAATCTTCTCCAAGACCACTTTACACAACCTGAACATCAGATGCCTCCTCGAAATGCACTACTTTCAAAGATTATACGCAGAAAAAATTACTGAAAGTGTAAGAGAGGTGGGGATTTATCATTTAATAAGTACTGATGATGTGACTAGTATGTACCAAGCGTTTTGCTAAGTGACACAGAACCAGGAAAAACAAAATGGAGAAAATAGTGCTAAGGACGGCTCTACTTAGGAACTGTTGGAATTCGAGGGACTGCTTGGTCTGAGAGCTACAAAATCACTAGTCTCGCTCCAATCGAAAATTTCAGTAATCAGTGGGGAAAAAAATCCAAGGGTGCCTGGGTGGTTCAGTCAGTTAAATGTCTGACTCTTGATTTCAGCTCAGGTTATGATCTCATGGTTTATGGGATCAAGCCTGCATCAGGCTCTACACTGATAACACAGAGCCTGCTTGAGATTCTCTCTCTTCCCCTCCCCTGTTTGCTCTCTTCCTCTCTCTCTCTCTCAAAATAAATAAATAAACATTAAAAATCAAAAGAAAACAAGGAAAAAAAGCCAACCAAACAATTTAAAGAATTTAAAGGTATTTATTGTCCATATGACGGACAAATCAAAAAATTGGGCAGGCTTCAAAAACTAATGGCTCTATAATATCAACAAAGCCCTACTTATTTTTCCATTGCTGTACTCTGTCTTCCATGATGTTGCTTTCAACTTAGCCTTGTCTCTTCTGATGGTCTCAAGGAGGTATTCGGATACAACCAAAGTTTCATGCTTCCTAGTTCATATGAACAAAAGCAGAGAGTACTTTTGTGGTAACTCCCATGGGTTAGAGAGAAATTTCCTTGTCCCCAACCTCCTTCCACTGTCTTCTCAATCTCATTGTCTCTAATTGGTTCACATGCCCACTCTGAACCAATCACGTGAACAAAAGGATGTGATATTGCTGGTTGGCTTAAGACAGTCAGCAATTAATCCTGGAGCTGGGTGATAGAAACCAAACCATGCTGGGAAACATGTTTACTTAGAAAGTAGAAAGAGGCCAGGATGGTGAGGAGGGATCTCACAAATGTCATCTAGAGCTCTTGTTACTTCTTTTTACTGCATGTCTATTCTATGTTGCTTTCTTGCGTTGACTCCATAAACAAGGTTTTCACTTTGGGTTCCTTCATAAATTTGATTTACACGTGGCTGAGGCTTGCCAGATGGACAACTCTATTTACTTTTTTTTTTTTTAGATATATATAGAGAGAGAGGAAGAGGGGCAGAGAGGGAGAGAATCTTAAGCAGGATCTATGCTCAGCACAGAGCCCAACCCAAGGCTTGATCCCAGAAACCTGGGATCATGACCTGAGCTGAAATCAAGAATCGGGCGCTCAACCAACGGAGCCATCCAGGCCCCCTGCCATGTAACGACTCTCAAAACAAATGCCTGTGACCCTGCAAATCCAAACCTGTCATTCACCTATGATTTTTGTGCTTTAGTTCAAAATTCTCAAATATAATTGGCTTGGCCTATCCTGTGGTTGACTCGCCTAGCAGCTCTCTACACACTGGTCCTCGCCTCCTATAGCAGGAGGAATAGGGTCATCTGATATAATCATGAATAACTAGACCCATCTGTTCAGCAGGGTTTGTGGGTGGGAACAGATTCTTTTGGAAGGGGATGTGGGCAGAAAGGCAATTATATACATCTCTAACCAGAAAAATCCCAGAGGTGAAAAGGATAGGGAGAAAATGACACCAAATTTAAAGATAAAAGGAAAGCTTGGTTCAAAATTAGGCTGTGTGACTGATCATAGATGTTTGCTTTATTCAGTATTTTAACCTTATAATCTCTGCAATTTACTTTTAAAAACATCAAAATACTACCTCAAGGAGAAATATTACAGAAGAAAACAATCTTTGATCATAATCTTGAACCTAAAAAGGTATTTACCCTCATTATCTCCCAGGTGTTGGAAAGTGCAACACATCTAAATTTTATGCGTTTTTTTGCAGACTGTTACTTCCTCAAAATGACTTTAAACATTGAAAAGGCTAACAGAATACCCTAGTAAAAATTCTCCCAACAAATGTGCATTTCACTCTTAAGTAACTTACCCATTTGCACCTTGGGATTTCCAAGAAGGTGTTAAGAGAGTCCCATGCCATCCCCAGCCTAACCCACTTTGACCCAGATGAACATCTGACTGATTAATATTTTAAAAATAAAAGAAGTAAAAAGAGGATTCTTTCAACACCTCCCACCACCCCAAACGGGGAGTGGATTGGGTTGAGGGCACCCAAAACTTCCCCCTGAGGCATGAAAATTGCACAGAGGTTATCTTGATGGTTCCAATCCTTGAATTAAGAACGCTTTGCCTAGACTAGCCCAGATTTCAAAACATAATAAAGTAAAGTTGAAGGAAAGAAAAATATAAGAAACAGACAACACTTTTCAAAAAAATGTTATTTGGCCTGTGGCTAATTCCGATTTTAGTTAAAAAACAAAACAAAACCCACTGATGGTTAAAACTAAACAGTACTTTAAAAAGAGAAGGGAAGACTTTAGACATAAAGGCAGAATTTTTTAAGTCAACATTTCATGCAGCAGCTCCTGCACGGCCTTCCCATTTCTCAATAGCTTTGATTTGTGGAAATAATGGTTATGCAATTTCCACACATTGTGCTCCAATCACAGCATGTAGGCAACAATGAAAAGAAAACAACTAGATGCACTCGAAGCTGGAGATTTTGATAAGCTTTTCTTTTCATTTCACAAGGGTTTTCAACTTGATGTTTTTCTGAGGCGACTGAGATAGTCCTATTGAGCTTTAATCGGATATATGTGAATACAGGGAAGTGTCTCGTTTTCTTAAATGTATCTATGGCCGCAGCACCGGTTCATCTAGTTGTGAAAAATTAACCAAAAAGAAACTATTGGACTATGAGAATTCCAGAGTTGACAGATTGTTGGTCTTTCTCTTAAAAAAAAAAAAAAAAAAAAA